GATCTAGGACAACTATGGTACCCATATTGTTGAACAAAACACAGAAAATCCCCAGCTCACCTGCCAGCTAGCCTGCAACCAAACAAATTGCCCTGTCAACAGTATGCGTTAAAATCAGAGGTTTTAGTTGCACAAACTTTTGGCCAAAAATATGTAGAAGCCACACCGCCGCGCCAAGGCACCTCTGCAAGGTGTAGTCCTAACTCTATGTATATGAGTCTCCAAGTGTGAGCATATTAATGCAGTCGATAAAATGCATGCAGGTGTACCAGGAGGTAGCCAACTCCTCCTCACAAGGTGCAGGGACACACTGGAGGCCCAGCAACCAAACATGCACGCTGGGACCCCAGTGCGTCCTCTCAACCAAAAATAGTCAAACTAGAAAAAAAATGGTACCTGCGTGAATCTATAACTAGCCTTTATGGCAGGGTGCACATTGGGAAGGCTTACAACAATACAAAACACAGAAAATCCCCAGCTCACCTGCCAGCTAGCCTGCAACCAAACAAATAGCCCGGTCAACAGTATGCGTTAAAATCAGAGGTTTTAGTTGCACAAACTTTTGGCCAAAAATATGTAGAAGCCACACCGCCGCGCCAAGGCACCTCTGAAAGGTGTGGTCCTAACTCTATGTATATGAGTCTCCAAGTGTGAGCATATTAATGTTGTTGGGTCAGACAGGTCTAAAGGGGAGGCAGAGTTTATCATGTGCAGCTAGGAAAGAGCAAGCAGGTTATGCATGCGCAAAATAAAAATGCACATAAGATATGAGTCCATGGGCCCCATGTGCTATTGGCTGGACCACTGACCCAATGGACTATTGGCTGGACCACTGGCCATTGATTGCACAGTTCGCTCTAATTTTTACTTCATGATAAAAATTGTCTCTTTCTTTGAAAATGTGGTGTACAAAAGCCGCTCAGTGTGTATTGAGTATGCACGATCTCAGGCGTTTTTCTGTGAAATATTAAACTAGAATTTTTAGTGATTAAAACCTGGCTGGTCTCTCAGTCAGAAAATGTGGCCCAGTAAGGGTGTCCTACTAAAAGTGCTTATATACTGGGTCAGGGCAACATTTTGATAGCTTTTGGTTGTGAAATAACACGCTCTAATTTTGAATTCTTAAATAAAAAAACATCAGTGGTCTCTTGCTCTCAAACTGTGGCCTACTAAAGTTGCTTACATAGTGTAAATTGAATCTGTACAATATTTCTGGCTGTTTTCTGTGAAATAATACACTTTTTTTCATTGATCATATTATTTTATTTATATTATTATAGTTATCATTTTTATGCATAATTGAAATTATACATTTTTGCTTTGAGTTAATTAGATTTCATCAGGCAGTTGTTGCTGACAGTCTGCTCAAGAGCTGTTTTTTTTAATCCCAGCACCTCACATCATTCTTTATCAAGAGACAAAAAATTCTAAAAACAGTGTGCATTTGACATGTGCAAATGCTAACGATTAGTTTCCGACGAAATTAAACAAAACCAAAAACGTTTTAATTTGTTTCATCAAACAAATCAAATTATTATGCTATTTTGGCATCAGGGACAACGAACCTCTGAATCCGAAAACGGAAATGTAAAGATGGCGGCACACATGTGCAGAATGAGCTGGTGGCCAATATGGCCGCTGCACATTATTAAACAAATTATTATGTGCCCGAATACATTATTAATATATACAAGCTTAAATTCATTTGTTATTTTGGATTTGGACGAACCGTCGAATCAACAGAATTTTCGTTGATTTACAGGTTCGTCCAAATCCGAATGCACAAGCCTAGTGTGCATTCAAAACACCACACACCCACACCACAGGTTATTAAAATGCAACTTCTCAGTCACAAATCCCCCCACTGCAATGAAGGTCCTCTTATACATGGCAAGTGCAGTAGGGCAGGCTATTACCTCAAGTGCATATTGAGCCACATCCAGCCAGTGGTCCAGACTGGTCACCCAATAGTTTATGTATTATGATCACTTGACATGATTTACTTGACCAGAGCAGAGATGGCTTTACAAGGAAAATGTAACTCAAAACATGCAAAAATTGAAAATTAAAATTAGAAATAAATGTGAATTTGTTAATATTGTTAAAAAATAAATAACATTAAAAAAATATTGACAGGTGGAAAAAATTAGTGTTCGGCCCTCAGCACTGTCAAAGGTCATGTTACTGCCAATTCCGTTTTGTTTCAGAGACCATTGGCTTCTCACTACAAGAATAAGAAGCCTTAAGTTGGTTCTCTCTGTGTTTATAAAAAAAACTTTTTTAGCATTAGAGACATTCTTTACCTTGTAGGCAACACCTCTGCAAGGGCAAAGAACCTAGTTTGCAATTTTTGCATAGGGACAAGGTGGTGTATAGGAAAAGGGCTTTTTGTTAAGGAAGTACCCAGGTTGCTTTGCCAACCCTGCCCATGTTTTCTTCTCCAGGGCAGGAACGGCCCTCAAGTAAAAAAAACAAACAAACATGAAAAAATTAAAACTATAAATAGAAATGTAAATCTGTACAAACTGTAAAAAACAACAACTTTGGCATGGCAATCTGTGGCATTGAAAAGAATAATAGTGAAGGCTGCCCCCAGCCCCTGCTACTCCTTGATAGGAGGCACACCTAACAACTGCCTATTGAGTAGTGTCCAATGCTGAGTGATGCAAACACTTGGGAGGAAGTAGTGCAGGTGAGGCCATTCTGCCCCCCAAGTGCATCCCCTAGTAACAATACCAACAGACTCTGCAGCCAAAATTGTGACAAATATGTCAAAGTGCACAGAAGACTAGGGGATGAATTGATACAACTTTGGGAAATAAATAAATAAATAAATAAATGTATTTAAATATGTAAATAAACATGAATAAATATGAATATCTTGCTCCATATTCTCCAAGTGAAAAACAAATGGAGAAAAACCCAAGAGTGCACATAAAAAGAGATAATACAAAAAATAAGAAGTAACACAATACAATGCATAAAGCATGAAATCCTAGACCATACATTTTAAATAAAAAAGAAACTGGGCACAAGATTTAGGAGCAAAGATCAAATATTAAACATCAACTGATGAACTCTAGATTGGAAGTGGTCTCATGCCTCAGCTCCTGGTTTGCATCCAGAGGAGAACTTTCTCTTAATAGGACAGTGCAGGTTCCATTCACCATTTGCAGTTTCTATTTGCAGGCTTCATAAAGCATCAAATACTTGATTTGTGGATCTCAAAGACATCTGTTTGCTTAATTGAACTTAGACCTCTTTTTCTTTTACTTTGATGGAAAAAAACACTGACACACACATTGATAACACCAAGATTGCCCCAATCCCTAACAAGATGAAGGACAATGTATCTGTCTTTACAGAGAGCACTTGAAGCAAGACTGCTGTCAGGGATAAAGAGCAGACACCAAAGAAACCTTGAAGAAGAATTATGGGGTCAGTGCTTTTCATCATAGTTCTCCTAAGGGTCACGGGAGAACACAAACTAGCGTTCTCCCGTCACCCAAAGCTCAGTATACCACGAGCAACAGCTTGCGGTATACTGAGACGCCGCAGCCAGAACGAATCCCAACATTGATGTCGAGATCCACCCAGCTGCAAGATTGACAGCTGGCTCTGCCTATCCAGAGGCAGAGCCAGCTGTGCCCGCCCTGTCCCCCATCCGTTCCGCCAGTCAGCGCTGGAGGATTGGACAGGGGAGGGGGGAATCCCTGCAGGGAGCCGTGACAGTCACGGCTCTCTGCACGGATAGATCAAGAAGTGAGCGAGCGCCGCTATGTGTTCGCTCACTTCCCAATCTACTGAGCCGACCTGTGACAGTTTCATTGTTACAGGTCGGCTCAGATTATGAGGCTGAGTGAAAATCACTCGCCTCATAATTGTCCTTTAAGTCTTCGCCCTTCTTACTGGCATAGATCCCATATTCTAACTGGCAAAGCTTTGACCTAACACTAACCCTACCTGTAACCCTAACACTAAAGCTTAAATCCAAGCTGTGGATAGCCCTGTCGGCAGCACTCTGTTCAATAAAAGTCGATTTTTCAATTAACATTTGTCAAAGGAGCTGGGTTAAGCTGTGACAGCGATCATGCTGACCGAATCCAAGAGCCCAACATAATTTCACATCTACGCCGTGTAGTGTGGATGGCTGAATCGAGCAGTTTTTCCGGCTTAGCTCATGGGGCTGATCATGAAATAAGCTACAAATGTATGGCCAGTTTTACCCTGCCTTGCATACAGGTAGCCCTTTGTTTGCTTACTCTGCCTTCACCAGGATCCTCTGTGTTGAAGACCAACCCTCCTTGCTACTGCTTCATCAAATTAATTCCACTGATGGCTACTACTGTAAATAGTTTACTTCTTTTTTTCTCACTACTAGCACTGTAGAATATGCTGATGCTATATTAAAAGAACATACACATTATGAAATGTACACCGATCAACCGTAACATTATGACCACCTGCCTAATATTGAGTAGGTCCCCTTTTGCTGCCAAAACAGCCCTAATCCCGTCGAGGCATGGACTTCACTAGACTTCTGAAGGTATGCTGTGGTATCTGTCACCTGGTGGGGCCTCCATGGATTGGACTTGTTTTTCCAGCACATCCCGCAAATGCTCAATTGGCTTAAGATGTGGAGGATTTTGAGGCTAATTCAACACCTCAAACTTGTTGTGGTGTTACTCAAAACACTCTTCAACCTTTTATACTTCGCCTCTCAGTGGTCATAATGTTATGGCTTATTGGTGTGTGTGTATATATATATACATACATACACACACACACACACACACACACACACACACACACACACACAATGGCAATAGTTGTTTTTAAAAAGTTTGACAGGGGAAAGTAAAAGCACTTATTTGCAAGCATGGGAGATTATATTGGCGTAATACGTTTTACTTTTAGCTTTGGGGGACTTCATTCTGTTTTTTAGTTTCTTACTCTGTGTCTATATATATTAGTAATCACGTGTCTCTTCTCTCCAACAGGATACTCAGTATTTCCCCTCACATGGCCACAACAGCTGGGGATGAAGAAACAGTGAGGTTCATGCTCAGGCGCTGGAAGGATAGCAGTTCTGGTCTTGATGATGCTAAGGAGGAAAGATATGATGTCTATTTATCCTTTCCTGATGCAACAAAACCAAACAATGTGCAGATAGGTAAGTGACAGTCTGAACATTGGCATCATTTTGTCAGCAATCTCAGTCCATATTTAAAACCATCACCACTAAAAAAGAAGTACCATTTAACTGTAAAACAATGTAATTTAACCGTAAAACAATGTAATTTTTAGAGCAGAATTCATGCTGTGCTGTGTTTGATATATCAGTAATTTGTTGCATAAAATGTAATATGAGCAGACATACCAGAATACGTCTACATCCTTTTGCATCCTTTGATGGCCATATTCATTTAAATTTATAAAGTCATTTTGATAGTAGTATGTGTTATTTATTTGTCAGACCATCACAAGTATCCAGGGAAAAGAAAAATTGCTGTCATATGCATAGTAATTTTGCTTACTTGGTGAACCTTATGGTAACATAAAAGTTTCCTACCCTTATTGTTATATTGTAACTCAGCAAGCAAGAATGCCTGTGCTAAGGAGTCTTTCATTTTTTTGTATTAGTGAGTAATAGGGGGCAGCCCAGTAGCTTACAGGTCAGCACTTATGTCTTGCAGCAGTGGGCTCCTTGGTTTGAGTCATGGCCAGGACACCATTTGCAAATGCCATTGCTAGCTGCATAAATTACTATGTAGTTCATCATAGCAATTGCATGGTTCACTATAATCAGTGTAGTCCCTAGTTTTGTTGCTAACGGGTGGTTGAGTGATGCCACCCTCCTCGCCCGGCTTGGCATCCCACCCAGCTGCTGGGTCCCAGATTGCTAACAGCTGAGCAGAGAGAAGTGTATGGCCCTTACACATCTCCTTACCCAGCCCTCAGCAACCTGGGATGCTCTGGCCAGAAAGGGAGTAGCAGGCACACTGCAAACCTTTTACAGCAGAGTGGCCATGCTCCTCTGCCTGCCGCTCCCCCCACATGATCCCCCCACATGACCCAAAAGGACTGCACTGACTATAGCTATAGTTATATACTTGATGCATAAAGTAAAGTCTTGCCCTTACAAATCATATGCTGTCTTTTAATATTCCAGTACAGTATGGGATATACAGTATTACAGCATTGGGTGGATTTCTTTGGTAGACCAAAAACAATTCTTCCCCCATACACATTTGAAAATGGGCAGTATAGAATAATGTAAAGTGAGAGCTCTCCCAAGGTTAGACCCCAGCGGTCTGCAGTACCTCGTAATCCTGTAGGGTTTACTTGTCATATGATCCTAATAAAATCACAAGTATCAGATAATAAGGTTCTTATGCCCATGTGCATCTTTATTTGAGAAGTTTTGTTCCCTAGTTCTTTCACTTACATTGTATGTCACTTCTATCCTCATCAGTTTCATCAAGTAATTCTGTAACGTTTACATCGCTTCTTAATGAAGAAAATTTAACAGAAGATCAGAAAGACCCCGAGGTAGTTAAACCATTCGCAGCTTATGCTCCTGCTGGGAATCCAAAGGTAAGCTGAGGGAAGGATCTTAATTATTATTATAAAAATAGTCATGATAAATAATATTATAGTAATAATTGTGATGAAGCATTTTATCTGAGAGAAACACGCCATATCCTAAAGTATTGAGCTGTAAAACTATGTAATGAAGTGGTGTTAATAAACTCAAGAACAGTTGGGGTCTTGTACAATCTATCAATTAAATTCCTAATATGTTCTTGGATTGTAGGAGGAAAACCTAGCAACCTGTTATGCTCTGTCTGGCGTCCCGCCCAGCTCGCTGATGTCACAGGTTGCCTAGAGCTGAGGAGGATGTTCTGGCTTGCATCCCACCGAGCTCCAAGCAACCAGTGATGTTAGTGAGCTGGCCAGGATGCCAGACAAAGCCATTGACAGCAGGGTCCGGTGTCCGCTGCCGCCCCTGTTAAACCCTCCCCTGGGCCAAGTGCACCAGTGACCATTGCCCGTCAGCACCCCCTTTTTCACCCTTTGAAACAAAATCGCCTCAGGTGCCAAATAACAAATGGATGGCCTTGTATATACAGATATTCCTTGTAGGCTCTAAGGATAGTATGGCAAATAAAAAACAAAACACAAAATAGATACAGTTCCCTGAGTAAGCGTTGGCACCCTAGGACAGAAATTGTGTTACTGGCAGAATTACCACGTGAAGTGAGGAATTACTAAGTGAAAATTAATGAAAAAGGTTAAAAAAAGGAGAGCTAACGCTACTAATTTTGCAGTTGTCACTGGAACAGTTGAGAGAAAACCATCCATTGGGGACAACTGTTATGGTGACAACCAAGAGGGTCGAGGCAGGCAGCGAGTATCATAAACAGTGAGGCAAGCCAAGAGTCGATAACCAGGAGATCCAAATAGCAGGGAAGGGAGACAGGAAACAGGAAATGAGGCGTCGTAGTTGCTTTGGGTATGGCAGAATAACTCGGCAACAAGTCTTGGCTCTGGCTGGGATTTAAACCCAGCAGGGGCCAGCGACGCCCCCGCTGTCTGGGCAACAAGGAAGCCACAGGTCCCTGCAGACCAATGGGATGGCTGGGAGAGAAGGAGTGCTCGCAAGGCCCTCCCCGGCAATGACCAGCACCTGAATCGACTAAGAAGCCACGGCAGTGCCACATGCGCGCGTCACGCACGCCTGTCATGCGTGCGCTCATGTGCACAGATGCAGCCTGCCGCCGGGCACCAATTCAGCCCAGGAAGGACCCTTGGATCTCCGTTGCACCCGCCGGACCCCAGGTAAGAGGGCACCCTTGGCCCCACGACACTGTCATCAATTTAAAAATGCAGGTAAAAGCACATAAAAATCCATTATTTTAAATAATTACCTGCAGTGCCTTTCTTTTCCATAAACTATTGTTTATTCAGTTGCAATGTGTATTTGAATTTGTTAGAACATTTGATTACTGCAGGAAGAGTCAGTTACCTAGCACAGTCCCCTCCCTCCTTGCATGTTATAGGCCTCTTCTAAGAGTATATAATTACTTTCTGTGCTGGCCCAACTCCTCCGCACCTCCCTTCACCTCCTTACATAACTTTTTATGTAGCTTCCTGCGGTGGAGCAAAGGGAGATACTACTTAAGTAATAGTCTGCTGGGGCTGCTGACACCACATCCAAGATGGTGGAGCCCAGCAACCATCTTAGGGCTTTTCAATGTCTACATAAGGTAAGCTTTTACAGGTAAATAACATGCATAAAATACAATAAATGCACATGACATATAGTAAGATGTTTGCTGAAATTAATGATCTGGTGACAATGTCTCTTTAAAGTGTATTTCTACTTTTGCAAACACATTTGAGAAAACCCCTCTATATGTTTGTTATGTGTATTTTTTCACACCGCATACCGAAATTAATTTTTAACAAATATTTCTTACTTTTTAGATGTTTTGTTGCAGCAGGCAACGTGGCTGAATCAGAGTTTTTCTTAGCACCTTTACAGTGATCTGTCCTTATAGAAAGATTTAGGACTGAAATTTGAAGATTGTGTTTCTCTCATTAACTCCATTACCCTGCAATTGAGAAGCTCCTCCCAACCCTTCCTAGCATTACAATAGAAGGAGAAGCATTTTTAAAAATATTTTTCCGCTTATGCTATGTGAATGGGAACATGTAACAAATATAAAATAGGTCTTATCCCAATTTGGCTATGAAAGTGGAAATATACTTTAAGAATAAATACCAAAGAGGATTACTCCATTTGTGTTCCAGTTTTTACCACCTTTGACTTCTCTGGTTATCAATATGGCCATATTCTGTGTTTGGAAGTGTTACAATACCACACTGTTTGCTGTGTAATATGTTTAAGTAAACTATTATGCTTTTTCTGGATACATGTACCCATGTTTCTCAATGTATTTTCCAGGGCAAGCTGGTATATGCTAACCAAGGTAGTCTGAGTGATTTCCAGTTCCTCAATCAAACACTAGATCTAACCGGGACCATTGCCATTGTGCGTTATGGAGGAGTTGGCAGATCTGTTAAGGTGTGTCTGTATGCATAAACATATTGTAAATTGTGAATGTGTACAAAACTAAAAGTATAAATAGCTTTTAAAGAATACATGTAAATAACTGAGAAAATATGGAGCCTCTCATTTCTGATTCCTTCCTCTAAGAATGTTAGTTGTGTGGCTGCCATGATGATCCAAAGTCTTGAATACTTTGTTGAGTATATGCAACAGAAATGTTTTATGTATCTCTGACTTTGTTTTCTGTGATTAGGAGGTCACAGACAGCCAGGCAATTATTATTTTCAGAAGGAAATCAGCTATTGCAGCCTTCATATTTCAATTAAAGGAGAACTATGAGGTGAGTGATTTACACTTATACTCATAGTTAGAGCTGACGTGTGACAATGAAACTGTCACACGTCGGCTCTATTGATCGGGAAGTGAGTGAACGCATACAGTTGATCGCTCTCTTCCCGATCATCTCCCTGCGGAGAACGGTCAGTCACCGCTCCCCACAGGGATTCCCCCCTCCCCTCTCTTATCGTCTAGTGCTGACTGGAGGAATGGACGGGAGAGGGGACGGGCACAGATGGCTCTGCCTCTAGATAGGCAGAGCCCGCTGTCAACCAGCCAGCTGGGTGGATCTCAACAGTATTGTCAGGATCCATCCCGGCTGCAGCGCTCTCAGTATATACTGAGCTTTGGGCTATGGGAGAACTATATGTCCCCCCGTGACACTAAAGAGAACTATGGGATAAAAAGGTTACCCCATAGTTCTCTGTTATTACAGAATTACTTTAAAAGGCATACATTTGACAAACATTTAACTTTTTTTACAGATCTTTACTATACTACTTTACTATAATGTATTCCTGAATGTCAATACAGTATACCGATCAGCCATAACATTATGACCCCTGAGAGGTGAAGTAAATAACGCTGATTATCTTGTTACAATGGTATCTGAAAGTTGGTGGAATATATTAAGCAGCAAGTGAACATTTTGTCCCTGAAGTTTATGTGTTGGAAGCAGAAAAAATGGGCAAGCGTAAGGAATTGAGCGGCTTTGATAAGCGCCAAATTGTGATTGCTTACGACTGGGTCAGATGAACTCCAAAACTCTTCCTGACCTGCAGTAGTCAGGACCTCCAATTTCTCCAGATCTCAATCCAATCGAGCACCTGGGTGATGTGCTGGAAAAACAAGTGCGATCCATGGAGGCACCTACTCGAAACTTACAGGACTTAAAAGATCTGCTACTGAAAGCCTAATGCCAGATACCACTGCATACCTTTAGAGGTCTAGTGGAGTCCATGCCTCAACCGGTCAGGGCTGCTTTGGTGGCAAAAGGAGGACCTACTCAAAATTATTTGTGTGGTCACAATGTTATGGCTAATCAGTGTAAATACCTACTAGGGTCCTGATTTACTATAGAATGAATGCAGATGTGGTTAACTAAACCTGAATTTACATCAAACATACAATCATGTGAAGATGCTCCATTTTATGATATTGTCTGCTCAAGATTGGATGTTTTATGAATACACATGCACTTCAACTTATGTTGCTTTACTTCTCTCTCTACTTTGGTAAATGAAGATCTGAGTATCTAAGTGGTGGAGACATATTTGTCGGCTTCCAACTGCCATTTCTATAGTCCGAGTTTAAAAATGTAACATGGTTTGTGATTAGTTCCGATAGTTAACAAGTAATTTTCTTGTTTGAAAACGCTTATAATATGTCAGCTTCAGCATCATATTGAGACAATGCTTCTTCCACAGTGTCCTATTACATAAGTGTCTATTTCTCCACTAACAGGTCTCTGTGAGTGTTCATGTGCTCGTGAGTTTATTCACTGTTGCGGTGGAATTTTGAAACAACTTGTCAAACACTATTTTACATTCATTTTTAGGCCCCTTTCAGATGAGCGTTCTGATCAGGTCTGCCTGTCAGTTTTTCAGGTGGATATGATCGGAAGCCTAATGTTAGATCTACGGGCAGCCAGATCTAAACGGATGTCCCTTTAAATCTGATTAGTCACAATTCCCTCAGGTCTGTGAAACCAAACAGAACAGAGTTCCATTTTGGTGGACCTGATTGTGATGGATTGGGGTTAATCTGATGTAAACGGACACATGGTCAAGGAAGTAATAACACGGGTCAGGAACGTTTAGTTTTTTCCTCCATTGTAAGATGGAGGAAAAAACTGGACAGTCATGGATGTCATAGAGTGACATTCATTCTGTACTGCTCTGATCATGATCACCATGGGATCCCCAGTGCTGATAGGTACCCGTGTGAAAGAGGCTTTAAACCCGTAATTTGCAAGCTCCAGTTTTATTTTATTTAATCTCTGCAATCCTTTTTTTCCTGGATGTGAGCATATTGTAATTTCTGAATGCAGTAGCTATCATCTCTGTCCCACTGTGTTACTTCTTGCATCTGGCTTGTCCATTAGATTCCACCACAACTCCAGGCTGAATAATGCCCAGTATCATCCAAACTCTTCCTGTGAGCCTGGGCAGTCATGGACATGCCCCCTGTAGTCTCAAGATCTACAAGTGGTTGCCTCATTACCCTGCCTGGATTCAGCACAATGAAGCCAGCCTACGTCTTAGCATTGGAGATATGGAGGAAGAGGCAGCGGTTGTCATGTGACCGCGGCTATTATCTTATTTTAAAGTTGAACTCCAAACACAAAAACTTGTGTATATATAAATATATTCCTTAATAGCCACAAAGGATATAAATCCACTTTGTGTGCACCAGATGCAATCTCAAACACAGTTATTGCCTTGTAAAAGTAGCAGTGGCACCATCACTGTGCTATACACTGAGTGGCCAGATTATTATGACCACCTGATCTTTGTAGGCAAATTAGCTATAATTAGCTATAATTTCGGGGCTGAAGTTGCTAGAGGGCCAGACCATTATAAATAGGGAAGCAGGTTGTTTACCACGACAGTAGAAGTGATTTTTTCCCCTTCGTTGTTTACCCAAGATATGGGTAAACAACGTGATTTAACAGCCTTTGAACGTGGGATGATTGTTGGCGCTCGGAGCCATGGAGCAAGTATCAGCAAAACAGCAGAATTAGTTAGCAGCTGTTGTTAAAGTAGTTAAAGACTGGACTGTCAGCCGAAAATCTGGGTCTGAACGTGCGAATTGTGGTCGTCAGCGACTAGTCAATGTGAGGGCAGAACGGAGAGTGGCAAGATTGGTTGGTACAAGACAGAAGGGCAACAGTGCAGTGTCAGATTCCTCGCATCACCTTTCAACATCTCGTGGAGTCACGAGGCGGCCCAACTGAGTCATCTCGTGGAGTTATCTTGTGGCCCAACTAAGTACTGATGGGATGGTCATAATAATCTGGCCACTCAGTGTATACTGTATATAGCCTGTGCCTAGAGCAAAGCTGTGGGAGGGACCCAGCAGGCTCCACCCACTACAGGTTGCCTGCAGAAAATTACAGTAGGGGGTGGAGACATGGTCCCCCTGCACAAGGAGAGAGAGCAGCAGTGACTGGTCTCAATACAAGGAGTTCCTCTATAGAGGTAATGTTTCCCACAGGACTACTGCACAGATCTGCAGAAATACACATATTAGACCAAGATTCAAATAAGAACACACATGACTCTTCTATTTACATCATATTTGCCATTTAGATTTAAGGTATTACAGACTTATAAATTGATCCCGGCGTTGGTCTTTAACCTTATGAGACTTATCACTGGGGAAAAATCTACTAGTGAAGCAATTTGTGTTTAGTATAGTTTTTCAGCCTCTGCAATTACAAACTCTTGCATCTCCCTAGCCTTAATTTAGCTGGAATGCAAATAAATTGTATAATTACATGAAAAAATGGCTTTTGTAGTAAAGAAATTATTTATAAAGACGTATTTGAAATCTATGACTCTTAACTTCCTGCATCTCTGGGTTTCTTAGGCAATAAATGCTGCCAGATTTGGAGTAGTTGGTGTCATTGTATATACAGATCCCAAAGATATCAATGATGGCATTTCTGACGAATCTCAAACATACCCACACTCCTGGTACATGCCCCCATCGGGTGTAGAGCGCGGGTCTTACAGTGTAGACTTCGGGGATTTTCTTACTCCATATTATCCAGCCAAAAGTAAGTCTATTTCAGTTTCTTATCTAGTCCTTTCTTGCTGATACATTCTCACCAATATTCTTCCATTTTACAGCTGAAATACACAGTAGACAGCTTCTATGGAAGGGACCCATAGCCTAAGGCCTTGTACACATGGGCTAAGTATGTGGAAGAGCAATGTGTAGAGCAAACTTTTACAAAGTATTTGCAAAGTTTATATCAAGCTTTGTTAAAGCCTTTAGGGCTCATTCGCACGGACGCAAGTACTGGTGTATGAACATACAGTGAAAAAATCTGCCTGTATCTGCGGCACTCAGTTGTTTTTGTCCATAGGATTGTGTGGACACAATAATAGGTGTATTTGTGTCTGTGGGAATGAGCCCTAAAGTAGATCTTAATGAGAATGATGATTATGACTTTACACAAGCTGCTATCAGTCTTCAACAGGCTTTTAGCTTATGGAATCCTACTAAAACCTGCTAGCAACTTGTTTAAAGTGATAGCACTTCCATTTAGATCTGTGTTTAACCTCTTCCAACTGGGACTGAATGTTGATTTACCACTTGAAGACCGCTGTGTTAAACCCCCTTCCCGTCCAGGCCATTTTTCAGTATTCAGCTCTGCGGTACTGTGGCTGTCATTTATTCCGTCATGCAACGGTGTACTGAAATGAAATTTATATCATTTTTGTGGGACAGAATTGTGCTTTCTTTTGGTGGTATTTAATGACCACTGGGGGTTTTATATTTTTTACTATATAAAGAAAAAAGTACCAACATTTTTTAAATAAAAAACTGTTCTCCCTGTGTTACGTTATTACCCTATTTTTTGGAAAAAAAAGATGGAGTCACATTGGGTGAATAGATACCCAACATGTCAATGCCTTAATTTACTGTTAACAGTGATTGATATCCCTAGGATTATTGCTCGCACTCCAATGTTTGCAGTGATATTTGCACATGGCGCAATTGTCGTTTTCACTCCCGACTTGTGTTTGCATTTGTATGTACGTGTAAATGTGGGCAGGGGACTTTAAACAAATAATTTGTGTTTTTTTTTTACTTTTTTTCTATATGTGACTAATTTTTTAAACTTTGTTTTTTGTTTTTTTTACACTTAACTATATTGCTATCATATAGGGGGCTAACATGCGGTCCGAACTCTTGTATGCAGCAGCCATCGCCAGCTGTAAAAGAAAGGTTCAAAGTTTCCCGCTCCTGCTCACACGCATGGGTGTGGGGCAGTGGCAAAAGCCATTTAAAAACATTCACTTGTCCTCAAGTGCAGGTAGTTAAAGGCTTCAACAAAGCTGCCTAAAAGCGTTGCAAATACTTAGTACACACTGCTCTTATACAAGCTGAAGCCCAAATGTACAAGCCCTAAAGTGTATCTGTAGCCAAAACTTTTTTGTTTTTGTTTTCATTTTTTTGATAGAGTGGGGACTACGTACGTATAATTTGTTTTTTTTATATAAATTCATAACTGATTAAAATTGTGTTGCTTATCTGCCTGGAATTGGCCATTAGCATACTACTCGCAATCAAAACTGAAAACGCATAAAAAAGCACTGCCTACATTGTCAGTAGTTCAGTTTTTCACCAATGCAATGATACAGTGCATCGGTCCATCTCAGTTCCTTTGATTGGTATTCTAGTTGTTGCAGTCCACGAATGTAAACCCACAGGTGAGCAGTTGGCATGGAATCCACCGGGATCCCCTCATGGAAGTTTGGACTTAGGTGCATGCTGACCCCTGGTTGTGACCCCTGGGTTCACCATGCTCGACTTGCAGAGAGTACCCATACACACAGGAGAAGGAGAATGTGGCAGCACTCCAGGCAGGACTAAAAAAGGCAAGATGGCAACGGAGAAGACAAAGACCCATAAGAAAGGCCAAAGGTCCAGGCTGGCAGCAGACAAACGAAACCTAGAGGAGAAAGCTGAGTCAGTACATGAAAGAATAGTCCAAGGGAAAAGCAGGTCAGGAGCAAAGGCACAGATGGGAGTTTGGAGGCAACAGGAAAGTTGCTCTGGCAAAAGGAGCTGGTCAGAGAAGGACTTAAATAAGGAGATAGATATGGGGCTGGGAGGAAGTAGCCAAGAGGCAAGGTATATTAACCATTAGGTAATAACAGGTTCCTCGCTGCCTTTTACATACAGAAAGTCTAAAAAAAGTCTACACTATGTTTCCCACAACCACTAATCACTGCAAATCACAAGCAAACCTGCACTGAAAATTTGATTGTGTGATACAGTAAGAAAAGAGACAGAGTGGAACACAAACTAGCTTCATGAATCAGACTTATGTAATGTGTGTATTCTTTAATGTATGTATTATTTCTTACAATGTATAAATGTCAAAATATTTTTTTGCCATTTATTTCATAGAAATACGGATTCTGACTGTGCCCCCCTTGGTTAAATATTCCAGCAAAATCCATTTTCTTTTGGTTATTCTTTATTTATTGATAACAAAATATAGAATATAGAAATAGAATCTGTTCTGTAGAAAGATATTACTACTTTATTTTTGCCGAAATCTGGCATATTCCACTATTTTCCAATGCCAATCTTCAATGGAGGGAAGCTGGGGAAGGAATATCTTCTGTGTGGGATCATTTTTTAATTATTTTTACATTTCCTTCTTTATTTCTTATGTCAATCTGTCTACATTTCTCCATTTTTTACACTTCATTTGGATAATGCAACTTTTCATGTCAATCAGGTGAGGTGAGATAACAGCTGTAAGTGTATTGTCATCCCAAGTATTAATTTATTCGTTTTTTTAAATACATTTTCAGGTCACACCTATAGAAGAAATGAATCTGAGATCACAGGCCTTCCCCCAGTTCCAACCCAGCCAATAGGATTTGGAGATGCCAGGACTCTAATATGGTGAGTGTGGCAGTATACAGTGCACAATTCTGTTCTCTTAAGAATTTGAAACCCTTATTTTCCGCATGGAAAATCCCTGTCCCTGTCTTGTTGCGAGTACATGTGTCCACACCGCATCATTCTGAACACTGTACTGTATGTTTTCTATTCCATACTGCATCATTCTGAATGCTGCACTGTATGTTTTCTATTCCACCCTGCTTCATTCTGCATGCTGTGCTGTACATCTTCTATTCCACACTGCTTCATTCTGCATGCGGCACTGTGCATTTCCTAGACCTATTCCACACTACATCATTTTGCCTTCTACTCTGTATGTTTTCTCTACCATACCACTTCATTCTGCACTCTGCGCTGTATTTTTTCATTCCATACCAATTGTATGTTTGCTTGCTTTGCTGTATATTTTCTATTCCTCATTAACTTGTTCCCTATTCCTCACCACTTCATTCTGCACACTGGGCTGTACGTTTTATACTTTATACTCTTCACCGTTTGTTGTTCATTACACACTCGTTTACAAAGTGTTTATTGTCTTAGTTGCTGGTTGCTAAGTAGTGGCCAACTTTTTTAATGAAATTCTTCTTTAAGGTAGGCAAAGTGTTAGCTTTCCCTATATTCCCTGTGTAGAAAAGCATATGTCATAGAAAAGTTTAACTTTATAACTGAGATAACATTTTAACTTCATAACTAGTTATAACTTTAACTTTGTACTGAGATTTATATTTTTTTGTGTCTGTGAGAATCTCACTTGTGGCACAGTAATTAAAACATATTTTGTCGGTACAAGGAATTTGGCAAACATATGGAAGGTTTTCGGAGAGTAGGCTCATACTCCATTTAATAATTCACTTTCAAGTCAATCCCACTGTTGGTGCAGTCAGGCCATATCCACCTATTTGACACAGCGAGCTCATCTCGTTGCAGAGTTGTTTTAGGGTGCCTCAGTGTGCCCTAGGTCTTTTAAAATCCTAACAACGCCCCTGCCAAAGGTAATAAAACAAGCAGTAGTTGCCTATTTTATATCACATGATTAAAATGTATGCAAATGCTTACCTGTTCTTCAAATTTTGCACAGCTCATTATGAGGTTTTTATATGAATGTGGCTTCCAAGCTTATACAAGTCTGGTGCCTGAGCTCTGTTATGTCAGTTTTATGTTTGTAAAACAATTTTTATTCTTACTGTCTGCTATATTTCTACCCACAGTGCACTTGGAGGTTCTAGAGCTCAAGCCTCCTGGCAAGGATCTTTATCATGTGAATATAACGTGGGACCCGGATTCCGCACTGGTGAACAATACAGTGGCAGGTTGGATATTTAAATACATTTATGTATGTTCTAATTTAGGAAGTTACTAACTTAAAAGAGTGACTGACAAATTTTGGAATTTATGGGGCTTGTGATTGGAAGTTGACATCTCTTCGCTCAGGTGGGATAACACAGATACGTTATACCAAATAATATTATGAATGGTCATTTGATATTAATTGTTCAACACTATTCTTCTAACTGTGGAGATGTATATGAAGAGATTGGTTTCAGAGCTTTCTGGACAGGTACACGTGAAAACACAATACTTTTAGACTCACAAACTGACTACATTTGAATAGAAATGAATGTATGTTGTGACTCGCAATTGTCCTCTTTTATCAATTGTCTGGAAGATAAATGTTGTTTGTTATCTTATATCAGGTCTTAATTTTTGTCAGTGCATCATAGTTGAATGAATGGACTAATTTTATTTGTGGATGGAGAAGCATAGGACCGTTCTTTTTTCATTCAATATGATAAAAATGGCTCCATCAAATCTATATAAATATGCACATATTTGGTGTGCTAAAAAAAGGGAACACATAAAAGTTTTTTTGTTTTTTTTTAAATTAGGTGAAAACAATAATATGAATCTTTCACAGAACACAATATGTTTGTGATTGTGTTATCTGTGCCTTAGAGATCGAATTGTGTTCTGTTTTATTATGGAACATAAATGCCTAAAGCATATATTTGCTGATACTACACCAGCCTAAAATGTCAATCACATTCATGCTGATTATGAAATAATATAATCTGATATAATCTGTAGCTGTTTTGTAGCAATTGGTGTTTTGAAGCAATGAATTGTAAGCTGTAGTATTACATATTATTTGTGGCATATGTCAGGCGTGTTTAGGAATTTCCAAACCCAAACACATTGCCATGTCATCATTTTGATGACATCACCTCCTGCATCCCTTTCCAGCCAGCTCTCAGTTTATACACAACCTGTCTTAACTTGGTGTTTCTTCTGCTCCCATCCCCTTTCCTCTGCTTCTGGACTCTCTGCCCTGCTCTCATCTCCATTCATTGTATTTGTAGAGAACTTTGGCACAGAGACCTTCTTTATAACTCTATTTATTAAACCCTCAAAGTGAATACATCAAAGGCATTGGAAGTTGCACTTAAAGTAGATGTATTGGCAGAACATTTTTAAATAGCAACATTTCAGGTCACAACGTCTGAAATGTTGCTATTTATACTAAGAAACCTTATATAATGTATACTAATACACTAATAGAGCTTCATAAGTAAATTTTACTAATACTGTTATCTTAGTAGAATATACTTATGGGGCTGTGGTAGTTGAATATACTAATAAGGCTGTCTAAGTAGAATATACTAATAGGGCTCTCTTAGGGGAATATTCTGATAGAGCCTGCTTAGTAAAATATGCGAATAGAGCTCCTTTAGTAGAATATACTAATAGAGCTAAGTAGAATATACTAAGGGCTTATGCACATGAATATAAATACAGAAGTATGGGCGTACAGCATAAAATATGCCTCTATTTGTGGTGCTCAAAGTCCCAGCTGCTGCGTTTTTGTTCCCATAAAATGTAATTGACATAAAACACTGTATGCTGGTATACGCCTGCAGATCCCTGTACCTGCATGCATATGGGTGTAATTTCCAGAATGCAATACTTCCGCTTTCGGGTATTTACACCCATATGGGTGTGCATATGAGGCAAGTACTGGTGTTTACATGCGTATACTCGCGTACAGCTGGGGCTGAAAATACGGATGTATGTAATGCGGTACGTCTGTATTTACGCACGTGTGCATAAGCCCTAACAGAGCCTTCTTAGTTGACTATACTAATAGAGATGTCTTAGTAGAACATACTAATACTAGTAAAGCTTTCTTACAAGAATATACCAATAGAGCTCTGTTAGTAGAATATACTAATAGATCGCTCTTAGAAAATACTTGGCCTTATTTTAAAAAATAACGAATAGTTCTCACTTAGTAAAACACTAGTTAGTAGAGCTCAATATGCCAATGGAGTTCTCTTAGTAGAATATTCTATTATGGATCTCTTAGTTGAATATACTAATAGAGATCTCTTAGTAAAATACAATAATAGAGCGATCTTAGTAAAATACACCAGTGAACCTATCTAAGTAGAATATACCAATGGTGCTCTCTTAGATCTCTCCTAGAAGAATTTGCTAATATACTCTTAGCAGAATATACTAAGATATACTAATAGTTCTCCCTTAGCAAAATATACCAATAGATCTCTCTTAGCAGACTATACAAATAGATCTCTCTTATAAGAATATACTAATTGGTCTCTCTTAATAGAAATGACTAAATATTTGAATGTTATGATGAGATTTTTAGAATGAACGTTAGTACGACAATTTAACTGTGTATACCCAGCTTTAGAGAGCTATTTTATCTTCTATTGCCAATACAATGATGCAAGTGTTATTTAGGAGTACTTTAAATGCTGCCCTCCTGTGGTGCTCAGGAGGTGACGCGGATGCTGAAGGCTGTATAGCGTGGTAGGAAGTCTGAATCTGGACATCTACCAGACTCCATCCACTGACATATAGAAGAATGGGCAGTGCCACCTGTGATACTAGCATCATTGTAATGTTTACTGGAGAGCCTTACATTAACTTGCTCAACTGTTATCAATGTTGTTAAAAAAAAAAGTGTTTGTTAATTTTATTAAAGCTCTCCATATGTCCTCTTTCCTCCAGTGATGTTCAGGTCAATGTGTACAATCATCAAACAATTAAGTCATCAGCAAATGTAATGGGCCTTATCAGAGGAAGTGTGGAGCCTGGTAAGATCATCAACATGTTTGTTATTTTATTATACTGCCATCGTAATTCTATATTATTTCATCCAACATTAATCACATTTATTAGATATGCTTTTAGATATGCCAAATATGAAAAAAAACCCTACACTATATTTTCATATAGATTCATGTAATGTATGATGTTCTTAGGATATGTAATGCATTGTTGGTGTATACAGGTAATCATTTATAACTGCATATGGGACAGAACTGGGTTTCCAGGTCTGTTCAATCAGCAGAGATGAACTGCAATCAGATTAGACATTGCTGTTCAATTGCTTTTTTTTTGCATTCCAAACATCTTAGAATTGAGAAGATATGAAGGGAGATGAATGCTAATTTAAAGTAAAAGTAATGTGTAGTGTCAGGGAGCAAAAAGTCTGAGAGAAAGTGTTTTTCTGGGCAAAGAATATGCACATTTCATATGTTTTACCCCGGCAAATATAGTAATACCCATTGATCAACTAGAATTCCAGGGTGCCTCTAACATCATGTCTGAGGTACAAAAAGTGCCCCTGCTGCACTGAAATCCCAAGCAATGTTGTCATCCCTGCTAGAGATGGGCTCCATGTTCGATGGGTTTTTTTATGTTTTTTTTAAGAAAATAAAAGACTTGTAAAAAATTTTTTTTTCAAATAAAGGATTTTTTCAAAAGTGTGGCCTCTTTTTAAAACTTGTATTCAACCCTTTAGTGAATGGGTAGGGGTACAAGTACCCCTTACTCATTCACAAGGTGGGGGGCACATCTGGGTGCCCCTTTATTAAAGGGGTACCCTGATGTGAATAAGCCCCCTGTCCGCACCCCCACAACCAACGCCCCAGGGCTGATGGGGAAGAGGCCCTTTTCCCCATCGGCACAGGGACAAGGTGCTTTTCCAGGGGCGACCCTGGAAAAGCACCCTCCCAGTGCCGAGGGCATGTGGTCTGGTATGGCAGGGAGGGGACACTCGCTCATCCCCCTCCCTTTCCTGCCCTGCCAGGCCTGTGCGTGGATCAAAGTTCTCGTATGGAATTTTAGGGGGGACCCCACGTTTCCTCCCCCCATTTTTGGGGGTGGGGTTCCTCCTTAAAATTCCTACCACACCTTAAGGGCCAGGTATGACTTTGAGGGGGAACCCCACACCCTTTTTTTTTTTTTACATGGGTTTTTTTTTTAGCTTTTGTTTTCTAGATGGGGTCTCTCCTAACATTCCTACCAGACCTAAAGGGTCTGGTATTGTTTGGGAGGGGGAGCTGCACGCTCATTTTTTTCTTTACAAATGTAATTTTTGCTGCAGCAGGTTTGAATTCGAACTTTTCCCATGTTCTACAGTTTGAATTCGAACCGAACAGGGGGTGTTCAGCCCATCACTAATCCCTGTCCAGTTCTCTTCTGCTAGACTATAGTACCTCTTCACTTCTCCACATACCCATAACATAAAGGGGAGGTGTTCTGTAGTTCATGAAGGGCGAACACAGGTAGGGGTTCTAACACTCATTAGGATTTCAATGAAGCAAAGGCAGTGTTGTCAGCTCAAGCAAGAAGTTAGGATCTCACTGAATTCTAGCCAGATCAACAAGTATTGTTTTGTAATTGCAGCGAGTTTTAAAGAGACAAAACATGGGGAAACGCACATGTAATGCAGAAATGTTTTAATATGTTTTTTTTCTTTCGAATATACTCTGACATACATTTTACTTTTGAGGTATTTATTTTAAAGTAAATCTATGCTTAACCCATTGCAGTGCAAACCAACACTTTCTCTCTGCTCCCAGCACTCACTTTCCTCTCTCCTATGTGACAGCATTTGTACTTAGTGACTGGCTGCTCAGGCACTCAGTGCTGTCATATGGGGGACGGGGAGAGAGTCCAAAGTCCTGTTTAAGTGATTAGGGGGCCATCCTGAGCGACTAGAGCTTCCTTTGCTTCTGGCAGACAAAACTGCATTGATTGTTTACCTCCCTTTACTTTTACTTCATTAACATGTTGAATCTACATTTTAATTTGCAGACAGGTATATAATGTATGGAAATCACAGAGACAGCTGGGTCCATGGCGCTATAGATCCTAGCAGTGGAACTGCAGTCATGCTGGAAATTACTAGAATTCTTGGGGAAAAGGTCAAACAAGGTAAAAAACTCACACACTTTAGTTGTCAAGTAAAGCTGGCCATAGACTGCATAAATTTCCGCCAATTCAGCAAGAACCGCGTGACCCTGTTGGCACCTTCCGCTCAACATAAGTTGATTGTTCAGTTGGCTTTTGTCAAGCGGTGTAAAACTTCTCAGCTGAACAGTGACTGCAGGTATTAAAAGAGTTGGCAACAGGGATTCCTCCATTCACGCTGTTTTGTGTGGATGGGGGCATCAATGGATTTCTCTTGTTCAATCCCGTGTAGCATGTATGGCCAGCTTAACATATTATTAAATTTGTTGTGTTGGTTATGTATTTAGATGAAGCACTCTGAGGAATGCTGAATTAAGTTTTACTTGCTTATAGGGACATTACATGTATGTATACAGCAATACATATAGATCATACATATAGGTATATAGATCAGTGTATAGAGAGATCAGTGTGTACTATACTCCTCACTGTGTATATAGAGATCCAGGGGTGGACCTACCACTGATGCAGTCGGTGCAACAGGCTTCTGTGGGGGGAAGTGGCCGATGTGCTTCTGAACAAGGGGGGGGGGGGGACTTGGGGGATAATGCACCAGGGCCCTTTGTTCCTTAGGTCTGCCACTGGCTCACCCACACCCATCATCACGCGCTCTGAAAGGCCCAGGGACAGGGAGACTGGGGTCCAGCATTTACTGTGCGCGCAGGGACGTGACAATGAGAGTGATGCAGCGGTTGCAGGTTGTGAATACTGACAAATGGCCTGGACAGGAAGGGGGTTTAACACCCTGATCTTCAAGTGATTGAAGATGTTTTTGCTTAACAGGAAAATGGCGCCCACGGAGATCAATAATTTTCGGTAGCTGGGGAGCTGAAGAATTTGGCTTAATTGGATCTACTGAATTTGCAGAGGTAACTCAACAATGAACTTCTCTTTACTCCCTTTTAGTCTGTGAAATAAACCATTGTAGCTCCTCTAAGTTACTTTGTGCAGTTTTATTAATACCAATAGTAATAATAAAAGTTTTTATTTTAACAATAATAATTATAACCACTAAATGCACTCTTACATTTTTGTAGGAATACTATAGCAAGCTGAGAGACAGAACAGCAGCCTATATCAATGTGGACATTTCAGTATTTGGTAAGGCTTTGTAAACAGAGTATATAACAGATAAAGTCACATATTAAAGTGAACCTAGTGTTAGATCTATTTGTGTATGTTAAAGTGGACCTTTACCCCCTTTGAATAAAAATCACTCTGCATGCTGATTTCAAATCATCTTCCATTCATCAGTTAAACAAAGGTGTTTTTTATTTACTTACAAAAAGAGTTTATCCACTTCTGGGTCCATTTTGGCACAAATGATGTAATGTGCCCCAGCATTGCATCCTGGGATGATTACATAAGCAGAGCATTGCTGGACAATTTAATTTGTAATCTCACGAGATCTCAGGCAAAGGCATTTTCCTCCCTTGAGATGATGTGCATGGTCACATGTCCTACTCACATGTGCCAAAGTTCCAGGAAGTAAAGGGAGATCTAGTAATCTTCCCTTAGTTAAAATTGCCACTGTCAGAAGACTGGGGAAGAAAAGAGGAATAAGGTATGCAAATAATTCAAAGCCTGCAATTATCTAGAAGTATCTGTAGATTGTCATTACTAAACCTTTCTAAAGGTGGCTTTGTTGTTATTTTAAAGATATGGGTAAAGGTCCGCTTTGCATAAGTAATGCATAAGAGAAACACTTAAAGATTAATATTTCCTCTTATAGAGTTCACAGAACTCCCTTTTACATTGACTTTATCTTCCCTCATCCCTAGAAGGAAGTTATTACCTTTGTTCTCCCGTCAACCAGTCATCTAATTCCTGGACTGCAATGCAGGCCCAGAGTGAACACAATCATGTAAATCCTGATGCCCGTACAGTCATTTCTATGTTCTTGACTGAGTTTGGATGAGTTCTAATTTAACCATGTTGCAGCATTCCACCCCCCATCTTATACAGCTTTCCATGTTCCAAAAGGCGGTAACCCTATTGCCAATGTCACCTCCGCACCAGTGGTTTCAGAAATCCTATTCCACTTACCGGTACCTAAAAAGTGATGACATTTAATCAGTTTCCTTTTCTTGAATTGTGATGCACTTGCCTCATATATATAACTATGTTCGGAATACGGCAACCTATGGCCCCTTTTTATCTGTGTCACACAATTATGGTTACATAATTGGTTCTATCTTTAATTTTTGAGCAATCTCTACAACATTTCTGATAAATTAATTCAGTGAAATGAAAATAGATGTTTGTCAGTTTAGGGAAGTCCTATCAATACTAATATCAAAGCAGCATAGTAATATATGTATGCAGAGCACTCATTTATACCAGATCGATGTATCTTTTCACATGTTACCTTCTAATATAATATTCTTATATTCCACCAGCAAATGCCACACTAAGAGCACAAGGGACACCTCCAGTTCAGAATGTTATATTCACGGCTGCTAAACAGGTACAGTGTACTGTTTGTTATATTTAAAGCATGAGTTTATGCAATCCATGTTTTGCTTAGGGAAGTGGAAAAGTGGCCCAAAGAGCCAGTTGCTAGTTCACTTGGGTTCCATTGGAAATCTTACTTTTAACACTACAGGAAGGTATAAGACAAGAATCCCTACATATTTTATGTTATGGTCCAAATAAAAAAAGAAGAATACTTATTAGTTGCTAATCTAATAAGGAGGAATAGTGTATACAGGTGAAACTCGAATAATTAGAATATCGTGCAAAGTTCATTTATTTCACTAATGCAACTTAAAAGGTGAAACTAATATATGAGATAGACTCATTACATGCAAAGCAAGATAGTTCAAGCCGTGATTTGTCATAATTGTGATGATTATGGCTTACAGCTCATGAAAACCCCAAGAACCCCAAATCCACAACCTCAAAAAAGTAGATTATTACATGCAATCAATAAAAAAGGATTGTACATAGAACAATATCGGACCTCTGAAAAGTACAAGCATGCATATGTACTCAGTACTTGGTTTGGGCCCCTTTTGCATCACTTACTGCAATTACTTTTGCACGATATTCTAATTATTCGAGTTTCACCTGTATTTCCTGGGGCATCCTGTGGTGGCGGGGGGTCACTCTGCATTTAAAGGAAAACTAAACCTAAACCTTTTTTTTTGTTTTACTTCTTTTTTGGGTCACAGGAGTACATTTACTAATGTCTATTGCTCACTCATCTTTACTTATAACATTGTTAATAATATTACAGCAATTAACGCAAGAAAAAAACCCATAAACAAATGACTGACTGATTGATACTTAATATGTATATGATATAATTTGTATTGTGTGTATATATACTGTATTTGTATTGTATATTTGAATATAGAAACAATTTTACTTGTGCAACCCACATGTGCCAGATCATGTGGTGTCTGCCAAAACAGCATGAAGGAGTCACATTTAGGCGTCCAGTAACTGCATGATTCCTCCTGTTGGCACGGACCATGTGGCCAGTACCTTATACAAGGGTACATTATAACATAAATACTTTTTTTCATTCTTAATACCTTTTGTACTTTTTTCACAGGGGGCTGTTATGTTACCATCTAAATTTTACATTTAAACACTTCTGCTTTAAGCCTTGTACATTTGGGCTTCTGCTTGTATAAGTAGCATGTACAAATAATCTTAAAATCTTTTGAGTCCCACTTGAGTTCCAGCTGCCATTTCAAAATAGAATAGCAGCTGTTCTTCCAAGCTCCGTTTTAAAATGGCGGCTGGTCTTACTGGCTCCTGAGAACCTCCATCAGCACTAGCATTAGAATTGCATCCGACAGCAAGGATTTAGCACTAAGCCCAAAAGCTGAACTCATCAGCTTCCGGGCCTCTGATGCTTCTGCAGCTCGCTCCTATTGTGCACATTGCAGAAGTGAAAACAGATTACTGCCAAAATTCTGTTTACATGGGGAGTGCAGTGATATCATGAGTGACATTTCAGCACCTCCTCTGAATACAGAGGCCAGTACAGAGCTAGTAAAACCCTTTTTCAGCACCTCCCTCTAGCAACACTTCTGCTTTAAGCATTGTATATTTGGGCTTCTGCTTGTATAAGTAGCATATACAAATAATGTTAAAATCTTTTGGGTCCCACTTGAGTTCCAGCTGCCATTTCAAAATAGAATAGCAGTTGTTCTTCCAAGCTCCGTTTTAAAATGGCTGGTGGTCTTACTAGCTCCTGAGGGCCTCCATCAGCACTAGCATTAGAATTGCATCTGACAGCCAGGATTTAGCACTAAGCCCAAAAGCTGAACTGGTCAGCTTCCGGGCCTCTGATGCTTCTGCAGCTCGCTCCTATTGTGCACATTGCAGAATTGAAAACAGATTACTGCCGCATTTTGTTTACATGGGGAGTGCAGTGATGTCATAAGTGATATTTCAGCACCTCCTCTGAGTACAGAGGCCAGGACAGAGCTAGTAAAACCCCATTTCAGCATCTCCGTGCAGCAACAAATCACTTCGATAGTGATCTATTGCTGGCTTTTTGCACAAGTATCAAATGTTCACATGTGTGTACGCAATGTCATAGGAATTTTTAGCCAAAACAAAAATTGTGTATGATCTACCAACCATCTCAGTAGTCTGAAGTCCACAGTGACCTCAACATTACTTTACCAAAACAAAACAGACCCTGTCTATGTCCCCTTTATAGCAGCTGTTTATGTTCTTATATATTTTTCATATTGTAGGTTTCGCAACCTGTCAGTTCTCTCAACGTTTATGATAACTGGATCCGTCACTTTAACCGCACCAGCTCGATCTATGGAGGTCTCATACCCCAGTAAGAATCCATTCTGACTTCAATTTATTTGTATCTATTCTGTTACCTTTACCCAAAGTATATGTAAACCATTGAAATGTGGATTTATATTGTATTTTACGTTATGTAACAAAAAGACTGATCTTTATCTATATGTTTGACCACATAAGTACTAATTTATAAATACACCTTTATTACCAGGCCAATTTTCAGTTTTCAGTGCTGTCAGTTTGACTGACAATTACTCGTAATTACCAGGTAACACTGTGCTCAAAAGAATTTTATATCATTTTTCAAGACATTTTTATGATATTTAATAACTACCTTTTTTTTTTACTATAAAAAAGGGAAAAAAGTTGGGATTGATTACAGTTACCTTTCTTTGCTTTACTTTTACAAAAACTGTCCCACAATAATTGGTAGTCAGTGGCTTGTTAACACTCCCCCACCACCACCACTTTAAAAAAACAATCCCACAATCATTGATGGTCAGTGACACTTTAACCTCCCACTTTTAAAAGAATGATCCCATGGGCATTGGTGGTCAGTGGCACTTGAACCCCAATCCCCTTCTTTTTAAAAAAAAGCAATCCTACAATTTCACAGTCATTTGGTCAGTGGCACTTTAAATCCCTCACCTTTACCTTGGATCTGCTGCAATACTCTTTCCTGCTGTGTTTATAAACAATTAGTCCATTCACAATTAGGAAGGGGATCTTTCTCCATTGTAAATGGGCACAATGTTTGTAAACACTGGCAGTGTTTACACTTGTAATGGCTGTGATTGGTTCACAACGATCACAAGGTAGAAAGCAACTCTGATTGGCTCTGTAGCTTGTTATTTAGATCTCAGCTGTCAGATGACAGGAATTGATGGGTAAACTGACTGCTCATGTGTTTTTTCTGCATGCTGTTTTAAAACCACGATCCAGAAAATAATGTCCACCACTCTGCTGTAGTTTGAGGAGGTTAAGTAAAAGTATGTATAGCCAAAACCTAAAAACAATGGCAGAAAAAATCTAGATGCCCACAGAACTAAACCATTACGTGTGCGAGCATCTCCATAGTTCTTTTGCATTTTGGTTTTATGCCATGTATAAGGTGCATGTTTTGGCTACCTGAATAAGAGAAATCTGAATTCTTTTGCTCTCCTCTTCCCCTTTTTTTCCCCTTGAGGAGGGTGGAATGTTAAACTATGTTTTTGCTTCATGTTACATTAAAGATGCATATTTTGGCTACCCAAATAAGAGACATCTGTATTCTTTTGTTCCCTTTCTCCCTCTTCTCTTTTGAGGAGGGTGAAGTTTCAAACTATTGGGGAGATATAGAAATGAAGTCTTCTATGATGACTACAAATATAGGTCTTAATATTCATTATACAAAATTGCCTAGCCTGTCCTCTTTTCTTTCCCATGTCCACTGGAGGATAGTTGCCACCAGTGACACAGTATAGGAGATATAACCATGTGCACAATGGGACAAACCTTGCTTTGTAAACTATTTTTTCATATATCTGAAAACCTCCTGAGGAAGCTAGTGATTCAACATTGCGAAATGCGTGGAGATGTTGCTGCTCTCACCATTAGACCTTTTTGTGCTTTTTCACTGTACCCCGAAAATGTATGTCAATTATGGAAATATTACAGTCTGACAGAGGCAAGTGTGAGCTTTTCTCGGATTATTTCTTATGTCATTGTTTTTAACATATTGAGGTCTATTCTATGTCATCGATTAAATAAAATATTTTAATTTTAATTAAGTAATGTTATTTGAGTACCGCTATGGTTCGAATGAACCATTTTTTTTTATTTTTTCTAAATTTAATGTGTAATTTGGATGTGGTACTTTTTAGAGGGCAATCCGTTTATTCTGTTAAGATCTAAAATATAAGCTTTGTGCACTGAGAAACTCTCCTCTCCTTCTGCATTGCATGCATTTATTTTCTGATGTTCTTACAGGCTGGGTACACTTGGAGCTGGGAGTGACTATGCACCTTTTCTTCATTACTTGGGTATCACGTGTATGGACCTTGCCTTCACCTATGACAGGGTAATGCAGATCATCTATAGTTCATGGGAACTAATCACTTTAGCAACATAAAGCATTGCATAACGCAAGTGTGAATAAACAAATGCTGAAAAAGACAAAACAATTCCGACTATCTATGAAATTTGCATTTTGCTGAAACTGTACAAAAGTTCTTATACTATAAAAAAATGTAACCTATAATGTCAGATCTATGTTAAAGGAAACATTTAGTGCGTTATACACATTTTCTATATTTAATGTATGTTCATCACTGAAGATTAAACATTGTCTTTGCATTTTTTTTTGTTAGTTTAATATGAAATATTGTATTCGAATATTTAATATTTACCATGATCAGCCAACAGATAAAGCTCAAATGACTTCAGATTTCCTGCAGTTCTTCTGTGCTGTTACAAGATTTAATTTCATTCCTTGCTGTTTAGCTCTAATTAAAACACAGCTGAATGAGCCACAGGAGAGACACCCACATCTCTATTTCACACAGCTCTTCATGGAGTATCAGTTTGAGGTAGACAGTCCAAAAGTGTGCAGCTACTCCTGGGCCGTCTTGTTGGAAAACCATGCAACACACTGTCCTAAAAATTCACCCTGTATATAATGTTTATCTCTAAAATTAACATTTGCAAGTCATTAAATATTGACATTAAGAATCAGTTTATATACTTGTAAACCTTCAAAGAAAGTGAATTAAAACTGACCAAAATCATTTAAACTAATAGGCTAGCCTGGTTGTAATTAATTATGATAGTAATATATTATTATGTTACAATGATTACTTATACTACTATGCTTGTTTAAGAAGCTAGCACAAAGTACAGTAGTTTAAAACAAACAGCTAGATTATGCTTATTGGTTGGCTAATGCTAATTGGATAATACATTTTACACATCCTTGTCTTGATAAATAAGCCTAGTTTGATGATTATTATATATTTATATATATATATATATATATACATCTTTTCCAATTCTACAGAGCAAGTCATCAGCACGGATCTATCCAGCTTACCATACTGCATTTGACACATTTGATTATACAGCTAAACACATTGATCCAGGTAACAATGGGGGTATTGGCTTTTCTTGCATATATAACTGCAATTTCATGGTCTGTAGTACATTCTTTGGAGGCAGCAGTTATATGATTATTTTTTTCTTTTTTATAACAACGTGGGGGGAATTTATCAAAACTGCAGCAGACAAAATCTGGAGCAGATTTGCACTGCAACCAATCAGCTTCTCTGTCTCATATTCAAATCTTACCTGAGCAAACTGAAGAGAGATGCTGATTGGTTGCCATGGGCAACTGCTCCAGATTCTGTTTGCCCCAGTTTTGATAAATTCCCCCCTGTGAGTCATGGCTACCAAAGGGTCCTTCCCAGTTCTCATATACCTAATGCCGGCTATAATACAAAGGTGCCCATTTATGTGCTAGAAGAAAACATTTAACATGTTATAGCACCGCTCCTTCATGGACACACAGCAGGGAAGAAAAATGGGTGCCCACTGGCTGAGCTCCTTCACACCTCTCTATCGCATTTTGCCCTATCCACGGCTTGGTTATAGAGCTATAGAGACTAAGTCCTGGATAGGGTGAAATGTATTAGAGGGGCAGACTAAGGGTGGGACTGAGCCGAACTGTGCAAAGAATGAATAAAGGTGTTTTTCAGCAAGACAAGCAGTGTGCAGCTGGATTTTTTCTATTGTGCAGGTGTAAACAAACATTGTTTTAATTATAATTTACCATGATAGCATGTACAAAGTCCTCCTTGCCTGTCTGATTATTTATCCTCCTACATATCATTTAAGCAACGTGTAAATCTAAATGCATAGGAGCTTCATCACCATGTTGTCTTTTGTCCCCAAATTATTTGGAAGTTCAGCAAAAGTAGTTTACTGTCTGTAGGGCACAAGTCACCAAATGTTGCCAGCCTGTGAATCACGAACACATACTGCATATCAATAACACTTATTTCCTTACATGTAGCTATATACAGTATGATCATGCTGCACCAACCTGTCTTAGGTCTAGGTGGCAAGATGGTAAAGTGGTACTGTAATCCCCTACTTGATTTGGAGATTGCCATCTCTCACCACTTCCACCAAGCAAACAACACTTGAACCACCATCCTAACGCAAGAATAAAAGATTTCCCTAGGGGACTAATGTAGTTGTGGGTTGCAAGCATCTCTACCTTAACCCCTTCTAAAACATACATACCTCCAGAGCTGTCACAGTGCTGAAAAATAAAAATGCCATCTTGGCAATCAAATGTAGCGATCTGAAAATTGTATAGAGTAAATAAATTGACAACTATACCTTTTGTGATGTTTTAACTTGGGAGTGATTTACTTGTTCACTCTTTACTCTTTAAATAAGGTGAACTGTAATATTAATTCAGTGAATTGTGCATGTATAAGGTACTATATTTACCTCTGCAATGATTTTTGTTTCTAGGATTTACCAGTCACCAGGCTGTGGCCCGCACTGCTGGGAATGTTCTACTGCGACTTGCGGACAGTATCATCCTTCCACTGGGGCCGAGAGATTATGTTGAGACTCTGGACAGCTATTACAACACTGCTGCCTCAGAATTCACCGCTCAGCTTACAGCAAGGGGAATTTCTTTAGGTAATAAGATGTGAGGGTTATTGTGAGGGTTATTGTTTCAAATCAAAGATATGGTTTGGCACATTATGATGCATACTATCCAGGAATTAGGTTAGCTAAGTCCTTTCTCTCCCACTATAGATGTAGTTTAAAGGCTGAACTGTACAGACAATCACATCATGCTGCTGAGCACTTGAAATCAATGTGCTTCAAATGTAGTGACTGCCAGCATTAAAATCACCTGTATAGTATTTTCTTAAAGAGACCCTGTCACCAACGTAAAGAAAATTGCAAGTAAAGGCCTCTCCTCTTCTGCAAGAGTTTAATCACTTTCTGTGCTGGCCTGGGCCCTTTCATCAGGGCCTTCCAACATCACATCCAAGATGGTGACACCTTGCAGAAGTTTCAGGGCATTTGGATATGTACACAAGAAAGGCTTCTACAGGTAAATAGCTTGCATAAAATAAATTAAGCACATACATTATATAATCCTATAGGAAGATTTTTGTGTAAATAGTCTGGCAACAGGGTCTCTTTAGGAATACATAACTTAAAAAAGGACAGTGAAGGCCAAAGATCTATGCTTTAAGAACATATGACTAAAGAGAAGGAAAAGCGGTCCCCACTTCAAAACACATGGGTGGGCAAACTGAAAATCACAACATGCAGGTTCCTTAATAATCAATGTGTGGAAGACAGCAGCAAATCCTTTGAACACTTCAAACACACAAATGTATTGGGAAAATATGTAATCTGACAGGGGCTGGAAACTTCTAATGTGATTTTAATTTACACGTGTGTTTCAGTCCCATTGAAGACAGCCATAGACAGATACAGGACATTTTCTGAGGAGATCAACAAAATCATTGGCGATCTGAAAAATGCAGAAGAAGAGTAAGTTACATTCACAATAAATATTCTTTACTTCTATTCCATAATATTGATTCACTTCCAATAGTTAATGGGTTGTATTATAGCAGTTTATCAAAGCTTACTGAAACAGTTATAAATCTCATCCTCCTTGCCCCATTAAAGTATTTTAGCTATTGGGTGACATTGGCCAAGTGGTAAGGTAACATTTGGCACCTTCCACTGCCTTCAAAACTGAACAGATGTCTTCCTCATTCATTCTTAGAAAAACATCTGTGTATTTAAGGCAAGCATAAGGTAAGGATGACAGGAGTCAAAAACTCTGTGTAAGGGCCTGTTCAGGTGTATTCTGCTTGCGTTCTATATAGTTTGAAAGCACTTCTGAGGTCATTGAGGACCTATAAACGTTTGTCAGTTCATGTTTGTTGTATTAGCGCATGCTCATTAATGCACATTTTCACATGTTAATAAGTGTTGTGTTACGGCAGCTCATTCAGTTTGAATGGGCCACCAATGCAAAGGAACACACCCAAAAAAATGGACACGCAGCATTTTTTGCAGTGTGGTGAGCTGGAAAACTTATAATGAGAAAATATTTCTGAGCCCTCCTTCTGAAAATTCTAGATGCCTTGTTGTCATGCTGGTTGAATAGCTTTGATACTTTCTGGAGCACTGACCTGAAACATTCTGGGGGAATTTAGAGCAGACAGAATCTGGAGCAATTGCCAAATGTCTGCTCAAGTCTTCGTAAATTCCTCCCACTGTATGTACAAATCAGGAATTCTGACTTCAATCTGACTTTCTAATCTGCATTCTTGTTCTGGGTCAGTGACTCAGAAAGTAATACAACCATTGGCAGCTGGGCAACAAGGAAAAAGAAGATCAGCAATGACAGCCCTCTTTTTCTCTCAGTATATTTTTCCATGAAACATTATCCTTTAAATGAAAAAAAAAAATAGAAGTTAATGATAAAAGAAGTAGCTCCAGTACGCTGGAGCATCAGCAATCGTATGTACCTAATGTAAAGACAACTCCAGTGGCATGACTCCTACTGTGTGGCCATAAACCCCTATGAGTTTTATCCCAGGTGTTGCAGCTGCGGCCAGGTGCCCATGCAACATTTGTTCATGTGATGCCGAGCCCCTCATGTGTATCCAGAATCTTGTCCTGGAGTACCTACTTCGCTCCAGTGCCTACAGGTGCCTTCTTGCCCTGTACTCTCCATCTGTTGATCCTGGCCTGACACCCTTCCTGGTATGCTTTATCTGCTGCTCCATGACGCACTACTCCTATTCTCTGTTTAATGCCTACACTGCATTGCTAGTACACTGCATTGCTCCTTCAGGCCCTTTCAGCTGGGCATATCTACTCCCAGTAAGCCCCGTTTGCCGAACTTCATCCTCCTGAGTCCTTGCAACCGGGCACATCCGAGAATCCGCTGGTGGTCCTATCAGATCTGTCTGTTGTGTCTGCCAGTATCTGGGAAAGTAACCTAAGAGCAGCAGGACTCAGCTGAGTCCAAAGCCCCATAAGGGGGTCTCTGGTGAGTACCACATGTCACTTAGATGCCTAGGCGAACCTAGTCGTAATCAGCGTAGGGTCCAATTTACTCAATTTCCTTTAGTTCATAACAACACAACTGATCCCTTCAGCAACAGATCATTTTTAAGTATCAGTCCACAATGTATTCTATTATTACCTACTGTGATCAGAACATCCAGGTTAATGACTGTGTTTCTCTCTTTCCAGTCCACTTAGAGTCCGAATGATCAATGACCAGTTAATGTTGGTGGAGCGGGCCTTCATTAATCATTTTGCATTCCCAGATAAACTTTATTACAGGTACAGTACTTTATAAGCATGTGATCAGTGAAAGTGGAAAAGCCCATTTTTTTTAAAGTGTCTGTTTAAGAGTGCTAACATTGTTCTTCAGGCACACAGTATAGACTTTGCTACATTTGAAGATTTCATGACATATGAAAATTTCAGGTTACATATAATATAGTCCAAGTGAAATCTTAATTTTGACCAATCATCTGTTTGGCAGCTCTGGTCAAAAGCAACTTAATTACAGATGTGGTGTTCAGAATTTAACAAATTATAGTGTAATCTGACTGTGTGTTGTTACACCAGGATACCGAATTACACACCCAAAACAAACCACCACACATACAGGTGAAACTCGAATAATTAGAATATCATGCAAAAGTAATTGTAGTAAGTGCTGCAAAAGGGGCCCAAACCAAGTACTGAGTACATATGCATGCTTGTACTTTTCAGAGGTCCGATATTGTTCTATGTACAATCCTTGTTTTATTGATTGCATGTAATAATCTACTTTTTTGAGGTTGTGGATTTGGGGTTCTTGGGGTTTTCATGAGCTGTAAGCCATAATCATCACAATTATGACAAATCACGGCTTGAATTATCTTGCTTTGCATGTAATGAGTCTATCTCATATATTAGTTTCACCTTTTAAGTTGCATTAGTGAAATAAATGAACTTTGCACGATATTCTAATTATTCGAGTTTCACCTGTAGTAGTTTAGCATACCATCTATAATACTTATGAAAACTGCTGTGCTAAGCATGTAACTGTATGCTCTGTCACAGAAACAGGACAGTACTCCATCTTCTACACAGGATTGGGGCAGGGCATCATGCTCAAACCGTGTGAAACATTCACTAGCTTTTTTTCTTTTATACTTGAGTTTCCAAATGCACCGAGTTCTATAAATGTGATGTTCTAGAGGTTGAAGTGCTGTTGGAGCACTGGACAGCAGTATACAGGTATTCCTCACTTAACGACCGAGTTCCGTTCCTACGACCAGGTCGTTAAACGAATTGGTCGTTAAGTGAGGAACTCTATACAGTACTGTACTGCATTAGTACAGTACTGTATAGCGTTGCCGATGTACAGTACTGAACAGTGTACTGTACATCGGGCAATGAAAATACTCACGGGGACGCGCTGTGAAGAACGGAGGACGTCACTTCCCCCGACGACACGTCGCACTGGCGCTGACGCGCGAGGTCGGAGGTCGCTCGGAGGACGGTCGTAAGTGCGAGTGGTCGCAAAACAGGTAAGTCGTTAAGCGAGGAGTATCTGTAAAAGAAAATCTGCAGGTAGAAATGATTGCAGTTTTCTGTAAAACGGCGAACCCAGCAGAGGTCACTATAATAGTAGTACAAAAAGACGGTCAAAAAGTAAGAGCACCAACGAGATTTGATAGGTCTACTTGATTGTTATTTGCTATAGTAATAGTGACAGGAGTAGACAGCCAACACTGTCTGACTGGTGCCCTGTACAAGCCGTCCTACATCTGACATTCTTTTTAACCAATTAATCCTGGTCCAGTGCACTACATAGTCTTTTATTCAGCCACTGATGAATGGGAACCAGTGAGCCCTAAAAACTTGTTGGAGACCCATCTTTTACTTTGACAAATAAAAATCGGCTGTGCTGACACTGTTCTTCCTTCTGGAGGGTGCCTACTATTGTTCCCTATGGTCCCTGTGTGTGTTGTAAAGTAGTCACTGCTCCAAGCTCACTTCTGTGATGGACTACAATCTCACATTTAGTTAGCTAATTTGTATTAAAGGTATAGTTCATCACAGAAGTGAGCTTGGAGTGGTGGCTACTTTACAACATACACAGGGAACAAAAGTGGCCACCATCCAGAAGGAAGGACAGTGTTAGGACCAATTCAGAGATGATTTGAGGATCTACAGCCGAGAGATACACAAATAAGATACATTTATGTTAATAGTTAATGTACTTGAATGCATTTTTAAGATTTAACTCCTGAGTTTATTGTCACTTTACCAATTTTGAGTGGAGTTCTTCTGCAAGCATTTGATGATCCTAAATGACCAGCTCAACTTATACCCAAAGCATAGCAATAAGATATTAGTATAGGTAAAATTATATAAACATAAATGCTGATTTTTCTAAAAAACATAAGTGTACTATGCATTTAATTTATTTATTTATAAGTCTTTTTCTTTTTTCAGTCATATTATTTGGGCATCTCGGAGTTCCAGCGTGGTCACCTTTCCTGGTATTGCTGATGCCTATAGTAAGGCTATCTCTACTCAACTAAAAGAGGACTGGGATCAAGTACACCATCATATCACTGTGGCCACTACAGCTATTGATAACGCCGCATCCACTCTTCAAGTTGCTGCTTCTATTTAACAAGCTTAGTCAATGTAAAAAAAAGAAACATTTTAAAGAGATCTAGTCAGGAATTGGGCATTTGTTAAAGTATTAATTTCCACTTTTAAATTGTTATAATAGGGCAACCTTTGAGGGATACATGTGTACCGTTATTTAGCTTTCTTTACTGTCAGAGCAGAAATGTCCGCCCAGAGTCAGACCTTCATGGACATGGAGGCTGCTGACCTGTCTCCTGTCAGAGTTTAGAGAAGACACTCTGTCCAGGTTCCTGGGTAAAACGTCAACCAACAAAGGCTATAGGGGTTTCTTTACAAAAGGTAAATAGGCTTTTCAGTTAGTAAGAGAATTTGCACTTTGCAAAGAATACCCTACCACATAGTCTTCCTCATAGTAATTTCCAACAACATGTTTGATATACAGTATGCCTGTTCTCTTAGAGTCTGTTATCAGCACTGAGCTCCTGTGAGATGCAGCCTGATACTCTGCTAAGAAAAGTAAATAAAGAAAGGAAGGGCTGCGTTATTAGAATGATTAAAGGGCCCATAATTAGATTAATATAAAGGCTATTCTCTATTATGTGTTTCTGAATGTGGATTGTTTGCTGATACAATCTTTTAAAGTCCAACGTTTTAAACGCATACATACAGTTGTGCGTTTTGCAAGCAGATTGTGACACATTGATGTGAATGAACAAATGCATGTAAAACGCGCATACAAATGTGCAAAAACGCGCGTTTGTTTGAGTGTTTCCATTGAAGTCTATGGGGCCAAGAAGCGCATAATCTGTCAAAAAGAAGCTCATGTACTTTGTTCATCCCCATTCACACCTGCGCATCCTGTGAACACACGCCGAAGCGCACATTCTTGTGTGCGGCCAGCAAGACATGTGTTTTTAGTGCGCGTGAAATGCGTAAGCATAAAATACGGAATGTGTGTCGTGCAAAATACTACATGAGCTTTTTTTGCCGAGTTTGTTGCACGTATATGAACCCACTGAAAAATATGAGGACGCACGGCAAACGCGGCACACAAACTCGCGAAAATGGGCACAAACTCGTGAAAACGGGACGTGTGTTCCCGGCACGCACAGGTGTGAATGGGGCCTTCTAGCGACGGGTGTTTTGCTACAAGCGACTATAAAAACGCTTAGCTGTGCACATGGCCATTGAAATAAATGTGGTTTTTTAGTGTTTTTTCGAGCAGAAAGACCGCTACAAAACGCTCAATGTGAATGAGAGCTAATGCACGTTGCAGAAACGCACCTCTTCCCAAAACACACCACTCTGGAAATGTCTGAATGGGCCCTAATGGTTTCAGCTCAATTTTATTGTATTTTTTAAAATTAGAACTATGGCTGCAGCACTTCGTTATAAGTTCATCTGCCCTTACTATTTTCCCTTATTCCCCCGCAGCGTCTCACAAATACCTGTTGACCCTGCCAGTGAAGTTCAGCTAATGCAGCTTCCTGCGATGGGGGAACAATTTTGCTGCACCGCTCCTGAATTCAAAGCAGAGGGTTTTTTTTATGTAGGCAGTGGCTGCATGAAATGCAGGGGGATTAGAAGATGTTGCAGGGGGTGAGGCTAACAGCATTGTCATTGCTAATTCATAAGTCTATAGTTTGTCAATCAGCATCAGGCCACACCTAGCCCAAACCACTGCTTTCTGGATTGGCAGGACTGATTGTTCTCCTGAAACCCTCCCACTGTGAGCTGCAGTGTCTGAGAGGGAGAGAAAATGTGCTCCAAACCACAATGCAATCCCATTATACAAATTAAATACCTCTTAGTGCAGTAATGTTTATTCTTATGGAGAAGTGACATGCAGATAAAAACACTAAAATTGAACTGAACCTGTCTTGTGATTAACTGCTATGGTATACCACAGTAAACCATGGGAGTAAAAATGGACTGCTATATAGTATGAGGGCCAATCTAAACAATGAATTTAATTTATTTATGCAATGAGGTATACTATCACACTATATGCTTAATGCTACATCTAAAAGAGATTTTGTAGTTGTATTCAATATATGTGACCAGCTTACGTTTTTGTTCATTCTTTTTGTTACATATGTTTAAAGTGTGTATAAAAGCCAAAACTAGTCTCTAGATAGGATGGGAAAGAATTAAAACCCGTCATGTTATTTTTTGCTGCCTTTGTTGCACCTGGGAGATTTCTATTTATTTCATGTCCAGAGATGCAACAGGAAATGAGAGGAAATCTCTCTAGAGTAAATAGAGTATGTCATTTTGGAGGGTTGTCAAAAGGACAAGATGACTCCATTTGAGGATTTTCCCTCACATATTGCTCTGATGACAACTCCTGAATATTGGATCTCCTAACTTTCACTCTTAGTGATAATGATCAAATAGAGGGGGGACTCTCCCGATGAGTTCATGAACAGCAATAAAAACATGACATAAGCTCTAACCCTTCCCTACACTATCCAAAACTAAAAGACTTTAGCTCTGCGACTTCACATATTAAATCAAATAAAAATGCTAAAAATGTATCTATTTAGATTGTAGGTTCTACTAGGACTCTCTTTCCTATTGTATCTAGTTATTGCTATATTAGTTTTTTCTACAGAGTATGCAAGCATTTTACTTATCAGTGGTACACTCTCTTGTTTGTACTACTTTGTAGAACACCACAGGTGATGAAGTGCCATAAAGAATAATTTTTAAATATAATAAATCTGCTTTGACTTATAAATATATGGGTCCTTTAAGGTCAATATCTATTTATTAAAAGGTTTTGCATTGTACAAAAAGTAACAAAAAAACGGTATAAACATTACAACAAGTGTGTCTCGTAGCCAAAAACAAACCAGAACAAAGACACGTTACTATAGGCAGTAAGAAACACAATTGGTGTCCATGCAGGAGAATTGAAGAGTCATCAAAAAAGAAAAACAAATTCTGAATTCAAGAAGAAAGTGTTAAAGAAAGGACAAACTGTAGAAGAAGACAGGGGAGCGGGAGAAGAATGAGAGGGAAAAACAGAAAAGGAAACAAGGACAAGGGTAGAGAGGGGAACATAGTTGCGGTGGGCCCAACCACAGGAAAAGCAAGAGCTGCAAACGCTAATCTGTCCCTAAAGGCAAGCCAGCAGGACCAAGTCTCTGAAGCATTATCAGATCTATTATTGTCGGATGCCACTAGGTCCTCCATAATATAGATATCATTCATTATCTGCGCCCACACTAAGGGACTCAGGGATTGGACAGACTTCAGTACCTAGAGATAGCTACTCTAGCTTCCAACAAGCAATGGCACAAAATACCTTCTTAAGGAACGGAAAGGAACCCTGAAAACATAGACAGGGGAGCCACCTTTGGAGATGGACATATACTAGAGATGGTCATTTTATGATAACAAGCAAAAACTGAGGACCAAAACTACAGGGCAATGCCACCATACATGCAGATAGGTCCCTACTTCCTTAGCACATCACCAGCAGCAACTGGAAAGGGATGGGTACATCCTGTGGAGATCTTAAGGTGTCCAGTACCAGAGAGACACAATCTTATAATTTTTCTCCTGCATATAAGAAGACATGGACAAATGGTGAGTTTCATCTTCGGAACAGGATTCACCCAGAATATTCCTCCGTGTCTCGATAGGGGGGTCATCATCCAGTTGTACCCTCCACCCGCAACAGCCCATAGATAGAAGAAACAGTGTGAGTAGGAGAAGAAGCGTCTCTAGGGGTGTATGCTGCAAGGGAACCAGTAAGTATGATTTTGTCACAGACGAAACCACGTAATTGTGTAAAGGAAAACCAGTCACCCGCCCTAGTTGATGCGTCTGGAGCTGTAAAGGCGTCTGAGGAGAAAAGCTTTTTGATATAGCTCAAAGTTTGGGAGACCCACTCCCCCTCTATGAACATGATTATGTGATCATGTTGGATGCTCCCTCTTATATCCAAAAATATTTTATACCTTGACCCACAAAATCATACGTTTAGAAGGAACGCTCCTGGTGTTACAGGAAAAGGGTATATAACCATATGGTACCTTTTCATTTCTGAAAGGTGAGTCTTCAGATCCTTTCCTCGGGCATGGACACAAAGGGAATATTTATATGCAGTAAATGTGACATTCACAGGTGTTTAATCATGCTGTGTAAGTTAAAACACATGTACCAGGAATATTCACTTGCAGTAAAATTTTGGTGACTGTCACATTGACTGCTTTAAAAATATGCCCTATAGTTGCCAATTTTGCAACATGTCTGAAACTTACATTTATTAAACAAAGGCGGACAAAATAATGGAGACACCATCAGAAGCATCAATGAAGACCTTCATGGCCTACCATATCTGATGTACATCTGTCATGCAAGTCAAGTTCTCAACCCCTTATATGAACCACGAGCATGCTATATGGTCAAAAGTTTGTGGAAACCCTAATTCTTCCACAATAGGGGAAATAAACCACCCCATAGACTCTAAAGAGATTGAGAGTTCATACAAAGGACAGTTAGATGCATTGGAACTGTCTGCACATTTCAACCCAAGTCCAGACTCCCAGATACCAAAAAGGAGACTAAGGAAGACTGAAAGTAAACAAGAAAAGGAGAGGTGATGTAAAGCGGGTAAGCCTCAAGTACCTCACTAGTCCCTAAATGGGAAAGAGAGGGGAATACTGTGATTGTTAGGGAAGTTTCCACTAACCCAGAGGGTGGAGAGAGCTGGCCAGCCTCGCTTGCTGTTTACCGGTAGTTACCAATGCTAGACATCTGTAAAGTTCCAAGTGGTGGAAACTTGCAGGAGTTGGGCCCTTTGAGAGAATTTTGGATCAGAGTCTGGAAAACTGACCCTATGCAAGGAAGGTCCCACAAGCATCCCACAATGGGGATGCAAAGAAAAGAAACTAGGGTGGACATAAGGTCCAGTGCTGTCAACAACTACCCTGTAAAAGATACTGAGGGGTCAGGTCCCTGCTAGGGGAGAGAGCTGTGCAAACCGGTCCCAGCTAACTCTGTATCTCATAAGGTCCCTCTGGGCAGAGCGAATACTGAGGATCAGCCTTATCAGAATGTTCCTGAGGAGAAGGAATGCCCTTGTAGAGACTAAAACTCAGAAGGGCACAC